AGAATTGTCCCACCAAGTGACTCACCGGTGCACGAGTGCCTGTGGCGCGAGATGAAGGAAAACCCCACGACTGAGATCATGAAGCCACCACGCAGACCTGCAGGTAGCCTACCTGTCCTCCAAGCTCTCCGGGGCACCCTCGTCGGGGACAGAGAGGGCACGTTGGCCAGCGGGCTGGCACGGACTATCCTGGCCGAGAGCAGGGCCTTGGGGACCGTGGAAGGACGTCCCAGGACGAGGGGCCTCCGCTCAGAATGCAGCAGCAGCATTCAGCCTCTGTGCGCGTGGGTCCTGGTGACACAAGAGGCTCGAGTTAGGGGGTGCTTGGTGGGCGTGCAGCTCCTGCGCAGCTCTTCTGCAAGTCGGAGTACGTCTTATTTAAACATTTTTTAAAATCAGAAGAGGAATTAAGATGGTACACTAAAAGTATCTCTAAAACAAAACCTACAGATTTCCAGATTTTTACATTTTAGACATTTCTAGTTCACAGCTCTTAAAATTTTTCAGATATTCATATAGTGATATGGATATCTTTGTGTGTGTGTGGAACCAGGGATTGATCTCAGACCCTTGCACTTGCCAGGGAAGCGCTTATTCTACTGAGCCACCTCCCCGGCCCCATGGACATCTTTAATATATGTGCTAGATGTGACCCAACAATACAGTCAATATTTCCTTTTTTTTTTTTTTTTTTTTTTAATTTGTGTATTTGGTGCAGGGTCTCACTACACAGATCGGACTTGTAATGATCCTGTTTTCAGCCTCCCCAGCACTGGGATTGTAGGTGTGCAACACGGCACCCGGACTTGGTGCTGGCTCAGCACATCCCAGGGGTAGGGCCACCCGGCATGGGGGACCAGGTCCCTGCCTTTGCCAAAGCAAGTGCTTTGTCTGCTGGGCTAGCTCTCCGGCCCAACATTTCCAGTTTTGGGACATGATTACAGCAAAAGACGTAGTAAACCCCCACTCAGAACCCTCCTCCTTGGTTCAAATACTCCTTATTCTTAACCACTTGCTGAAAGCAGTTCTGGAAGTCCTCTTTTGGAAGTATCTTTGGTTGCACCCTTGCAGCTCCTTTAATGTTCTAGATCTATTAAAAAAGTTTCCTTTTTCATGGTCGTTTTGACTTTGGGGAAGAGCTGAAGTTGCGCAGTGCCAGATCGGATGAAGAAGGTGGAATCGGGCACACTGTGATGTCTTAACGACCCTGCCTTTCTGCTGGCACCCAGAAACAACATTCACCGCATTTTTGATCATATCCTGTAAAGACACTCAAGAAATAGAACTTCAGAACTGTTCTAGAAAGTGGCGAGAATGCCGAGCATAGTGGTCCATGCCTGTGAGCCCAGCGTTTGGGGGGCTGAGGAGGGAGGATCCCTGGGATTTCAAGGCCAGCCTGGGTTACACATCATCTAGTAAGTTCAAGGAAGTCCTGTCTGAACTACACAGCAAGACCTTGTCTCAGAAAGAAAGTGGCAAGAGTGGTGGGATGAGTTTTGTTTAGGGAAAAGATTTTGAGGGGCATTCATGGCAGTGTATAAAAATTATTGTAATTTTTTTTTTTTTTTTTTTTTTTTTTTGAGACAGGGTCTCATATAGTTCAGGCTAGCCTTGGACTTTATAGCCCACAGGCTGGTCTTGAACTCATGGCAGTCTTCCTGCCTCAGCCTCCCAAGTGCTGGGATTACAGGCATGTACCACCACACATGGTTTGTGATAATTTTTTAAATTTATAAACATTTACCATATATTTTGATTGCCCTTTGTATAACTAAAACGTACTGATTTGATTAACAAAATACCTTGCAAAGTTTTCTAAGAGCTAAATGGTTACATTATTATATTATTATTGGTACATTGTTGTATTGCTACATTGTTACACATTGTCGTGGCTACATTGTTCTATTACATTATTGTTTTATTATTACACTGTTACATTTGTTAGTTTAGGAAGGCTAGATTAGGCCAGCTACTTGTATCTTAAGCACTGACTAAATGCCTCCTGGTCTAAGCAGCTCTTTGGACCAGCTCTCCCCCCAGGAGGCTACAGGGTGCTGCTCTGCCCCAGTGGCGCCAGCGGAAACTGCCCCAAGCATCTGCGCCACCGCCTCAAGCTTCCCGGTTCACTCTTTTCTGGGCAGGGGACCCTGTATTGTCTAAACGGACATTTCAAGAAGTAGGGAAGTCTAGGAGCTTAACTGTCATCCATCTCTCTTTGAGTTGCTGATGTTCTGCATGTTCATGAGCCCTCCTTGTCCTTGGTAGCATGTGTGACTCTGAGGACTGTTGATGTCCCCTTCCTCTGTGGGCCAGCACTGGCACAGCGGGACTTGCGGGGGCGGGGGGCAGGTGCAGCTTGTGCCCCTCACGTCCTCTGGTCTAACCCAAGGCTCCAGTTTCAGCATCTCTGCCTACAGGTTCCCAGGCTGCGGGGGCAGATCCAAGGCAGATCCGGGGTCCGCACTGACCTCGCCGTAGTGTCTTCCTCGCCACACTCGAGTCCAGCTATGTGAACCTACATCCTGCTACACAGGCTCTGGCTTTTTTGCAATGTTTGGCCCCCTTGGCTTGCTTTGCATATGTTGTTAATTTGGATTAATTCATGGGTTAGATGAGGAAAATTCTAATCATTCCAAGAAATTATCATCCAAGAAGGAAAAGATTATTAGAATATACAGTCGCTGTACAAGAAAGAAAAGCAATAGTTGACGAGAAATGCAGACAAACGGCATTCGGGGAGGAAGGCATTCAGACTTGCTGCGCTCTTCTGGGTTGTGGTTGGTTGGCTGGTGCTGGTACAAGGACTCTAGCTCGCACCTTGCGCTTGCCAGGCAAATGCCGCCCCACTGAGCTGTGTCCCCAGCCCTCTTGTGAGGTCGCCAGCGCGTGGGCTTTGGAGGTGGAAAATGGTCATGCTGTCATGTCTGTCCACCCCGCCTAGCACATGGCACATAGGTGGGTCCTGTTTGGTGGCAGGGCTGCCAGTCACTGACAAGGCAGCGTGTGCTACGAGGCACTTCCAGAGTCTGCCAGGGCTTTAGTCACACTTGAGTTACTCTTGCTCCTCTGACCTTAGGAGGTGACTTAGCTTCTCCTGGCCTCAGTTTCCTTTTACGTCACATGAAGAAATGAAGGTTTATTGTGCCTCAAGGCTACATAGGTCAGATGAGGAGATGGTCCTGAGACCTGGGCCACACTCAGCACTCACGTGTTCCTCTGCTCCTGCTAGAGGAGTGCGTGGCGTTTGTACCTGACACTGCGCTGAGCTTGGACAAGGAACAGAGCAGCACTTTAAACCCAGTCGAGTGTGGGAAGGCAGGCTGGAGACGAGCGGCTGCGCCCTCTCCCTGTACACGGAGGCAGGGTGGGGATCAGTCACAGGGAAGCCAGACTGTGGCTGCCAAGCTGCCTGGACCTGATCCCTCGTGGGGGAGAGGCCCTGAAGCTAGCCCTGTGGCGGGCACAGGAGTGGTGACACCCACGTGTGGGTTAGGCCCCAGGAGTGGTCAGAGTGGAAGAACCTGGCAGTGACCCCAGAGTATGCCCTGAAACAGAGAAACCGGTCAGCCTGGTTTCCACCATGAGGAATAGGTGTCAGCTCTGTCCATAGGCGGGAGGTCAGCTCCGCGTGGGCTCCTTGACACTGATTTTGCTAATTCTCATGTACACTAAAGCCATTTTATTTCTTCACAGTTGTTTGCCATTTAGTCTAAATCTTCCAAAGTACACACATCATGTGGGCTGATCAGAGCGGTCAAGGAGGCCACCTGAGAGTGTCATGGCACTGAGCCGGAGGACGGAGGACGGGCGGGGAGTGAGCAGGGAGGCCGTCACATCGAGCTGGCCACAAAGAGGGCGCCACCCTGGCCTCAGTCACAGCCCTGGAAGAGAACACGGGGCTTGACTTCCAGTCCCACAGCCTACTGATCCGCAGGGCAGGGCGAGCGGAGCAGCTCTCTAGGCATCAAGGAGGAGAGGTGTTTGGGCGGGAGATCCAGGGCCAGGGCAGTATGGTGGGTTAGACTCGGTTCAGAGGCAGACCCTTGGGGCAGAGTCCTGTGGGTTGCTTGAGGCTTCGTCTTTGTTTCCGGCATCTGGAAACCACTGCTGACTCCAGTAGATCTGTATCTGGCACATCTGTGTGGGTGCATAAGGACAGTAGGGAGCCAAGGGCCCAGGGAGCAGGGCGTGTGCTGTGGCTGGGGATGGCCTCAGAGGAGAGAATGGGTGGACCAAAGAGATTCGGGCTGGGTGGAGACTGCGAGGGCCCAGACTTCTGCCGGGTTGGTTGGAGCAGGTGCTGGTAGCTTCTCTATAAACCCCCCAATGCATTGTCATTTTTGCTTAAATTGTCCGCTTTCATACAGAGATCTGAATAGTAAGGAGACATCAAATGTGTTTGTACACAAAGTACTGACCTTTAATGTACTTAACGTGCTCTGTGCCTCCTGCAGAGCTGTGTGTTTCGGTGACACTCAGCGCCTGGAAGAAGCTTCCTAAATGTGCTTCCAGGTTTCTGATGGCTTGTTGCTTACTAGTGTGTAGAAATGAAGTTCCTTTGTTTTTGTTTTATTAGCGCTATATCTGCGACCTTGCTAAACTCCTTTCTAGATCTGAGAACTTTTCCTAGATTCTTGGGTATTTTCTCTAAAAAATCATGCCATGTGTCATCAAAGACAGCTCTGGGTTTTCTTTTCCTAGTCTGATCCTTCACTATTTCTTTGCCTTTTGCACCGGCTGGGTCTTCCAGCAAAGAATCAGTGCCTGCGGCTGGGCGGGTGGCGCACACCTGTAATCCCAGCACTTGGGAGGCCGAGGCAGGATGACCACCGTGCGCTAGAGGCCACCCTGGGCTACACAGTGAGACCCAGTCTCAAAGAAAAGAACAAAGAAACAATCCATGTTTTCCCATTCAGTTGTTGGCAGTTTTTGTGTGTGCTTTTCATCCACAGAAGGAATTCCGTATTACTGCTGATACCTTGTTGGTTTGCTTTTTTCAGCAGAAGACTCAGAAGGTGGCGTTTACATGCGATTCATGAGGTCCCACAAGTGCTATGACATCGTTCCAACTAGTTCCAAGCTTGTTGTCTTTGATACTACATTACAAGTAAGTCCACCAGTTTCTGTGAACTTTTGTGGTGTGTCGCTGGGCCTGCGGGAACTGAAGTGCAGCCACAGCAGCCGATGTCTGTGGAGTCCTTTCTGTCTCTCAGGCATGGGGCTGAGGCTTTGTCTAAATTCTCGATCTCCATGGCAACTTATAAGGAACGTGCTATTACTGTCGTCTTTGTGCAGATAAGGAAACTCAAATTCTAGCTCGAGCTTAAGTCAGTTTTAGCTCACAAATTCTAGAGCGTGAGGGTTTCATCCTCAGAGCTAGCACGTGCAGGGTCTGGACAGCCCGGCTGCAGCCAGGGTGTGGCTGGATACAGCCTAATGGTCCTTTGTTGGTCAGTAGCGTATCAGATAAATATCTGAACTAAAACTAGCTAAAAAGAAGAAAATATTAGCTGGGTGTGGTGGCTCATGCCTATAATCCCAGCATTGGGGAGTCCAAGGCGGAGGATTGCTTGAAGTTGAAGGCTAGCCTGGACTACTTAGGGAGTTCCAGGCCAGCCTGTACTATGTAGTAAGTCACTGTCCCAAAGATTAAAAAAGAAAGAGAACACTAAGGTGGGTAGTCTCTGGAGAAAGAACTACTGATATCATTTAGCAAAAAAAAAAAAAATGAACCTGACCAGTTTGCTGTTAAAATCTTATTTCTCGCGGTCACTTTAAATCAACATGACTTACTTATCATCACACGTGAAAAGTCCTGAATAATACACTCAATGTAATGGTTAAGCTATACTCTGTGTAACAACATCAGGCTATAAACATGTACACCTCTCCCTGTTGCTTTTTTTTTTTTTTTTTTTTTTTTTCTCCTGTCTTTTTAATGCAGGGCCTCACTATGCTGTTCAGGCTACCCTTGAGCTCACTATGTAGCCCAGGCTGGTCCAGAGGTCACAGCGATCCTCCTGCCTCAGCCTCCCCCCCTCCCCCCGAGTGCTAGGATTGCAGGCCTGTGCCACACGCCTGGCTTGCCCTTTTGTTTATATATGTGTGTGTGCATTGTTCCCAGTAAGTCAGCAAGTAAGATCATCTTAAGTCACCTTCCCCAATAGACCCTGAGCCAGGAACTCTAGGTGGTGGCTTATGAAGGTTGTGCTCCCGGGAGAAGCCATGCAGGCACAGGAGAATCAGAGGGGCCAGGAAGGCGGCCTGACCAGGCTCTCTCCAGCAGCTCTGGTGAGGCCGCTGGGACTCAACCAGAGCCCTGAGAGGCCCTGGGCTGAGTGGCACCCTGGCGATCCTCTCAGCCCCCTCTCTTTTCCAGCCCTGCTCTGGCCCTATCTGCATCCCTCAGCTGTGGATTGCAGATAGCAGAAGGGGGTTTGCTTTTGGTTAATTGCACTTTCTTGTTGTGTAGAAGTAAAGCTGATCTTTGCAAATTGGCTTTTTGCGCAGTGACTTCCTTAAACCCTGTGGACCAAGTAACCTTCAGGGTTCCTTTTAAGCCCTTGGATTCCTTAAATTTTTGATGCAAAGATGACTATCACAGTAAGGAATGAAAGTCATTTTTAGAAATGTGGTCCGTACAGTTGTGACTACAAAATTCAGTCAGTAGCTAACCATTCTGAATTCCCAAAATAACGGGACTCCTAGTCAACCCATCTCACCCTCACTCCACGCCCTAAAAGGCTTCCCTTTGTTTTTGGTTTTGGTTTTGGTTTTTTGTGGTCCTGGTGTTGGACCTCAGGGCTCTGCACTTGCCAGGCAAGCACTTATTCTACTGAGCTATCTCCCTGGGCCCAAAGGCTTCCCTTCGGAAGTAGCAGGTCTCGTGACCCTTGGTGTTTCTGCTGACAGAAGAGTGACAGATTATTTGACTTTAACCTGGCTTTTCCTTGCCATGTGGCTCACTTTCTTGAGAATTTAGAATTGAGCAGACTGAGTAAGACGTGAAAATTGATTTTTCTGGACGCCAGAGGTCGCAGATCCTGTAAATGTGACTTCCATACCCACAGAAACCATGTGCGTCCACTCGCCGTCCCAGAAGGTGTTCATCCCGTGGGTCTCTAAGCTAGCACAGAGCTGAACCCTGTCACCCTGGAAATGGAGCGAGCAGTTGGCATTGGCTTAAGCAAAGTGACAGAGGTCTTTGAAGAGTTGAGTGCCAAGGTATCGTCAGCACACCCTTGATAGCTAAGAGAGCAGGCAGGAAATGACACAGGGCACCAGAGCACCAGAACAACCTGTCACCAAGAGCCCCGTTAAATAAATTGTGGATTAAGTGTATCAAAGAATGTCCCATAGCCATTAAGAAGAATGAAAAAAATGTTTGTTGAAAATATACTTATTTTATTTTTTGCTGTACTGGGGGTTGGACCTAGAACCTTACACAGGCTAGGCAAGTGCCCTCCCTTTGTGCTAGATCCCTGGCCCATTTTAAAGTTTTTCATTTTGAAACAGGGTCTCCCTAAATCGTCCAAGCTAGGCTCAAACTTACCATCCTCCTGCTTCCAGCTTCCCAAATAGCTGAGATTATAGTCATGCCACCGCGCATGATGAGAATTTTACACACACACACTGCAGAATAGTACACACCCTGACCAGGCCATTATGAAGGTGTGCAGCATCCGACGTGTAACTCACCCAGAGTTTATGAGACTTTTTTTGTATCAGGGATCAAACTCAGGGCCTTGCACTTGCCAGGCAGGCGCTTGAGCCACTGAGCTGTCTCCCTGACCCTATAGGACTCTTAAAGGGACAAAGGTGGCTGTTTACAGGGAGGCTGGCAAAGGAGACGTTCAGAGATCAGAGAACAGATCAGACAGAAAATTATAAAACCAGAACTGAGCTGCCCCGGAGGGAGGCAGAAGTGCATTTTTGCACCCACTCTTCTGTTTCCAGCTCCAGGCTCTTGAGAGCCCAGGTCCGCATTCTGTTTGGGCCATGCATTCCCCCTACATTTCTACAGGAGCAGCGCCAGCCTGTCTTTCTGGTCATCCCTCAGTCCTTGAACATGGAAGTCAAGTGACAGGGCGACATTTGGCCTGCTGGGCACTGTCACCTGCGTGTCCTGGTGCTGCTGTGCGGTGCCAGTTCAGCCCCTAGTGAGAACCGCCTGCGGACCAAGCCGTCGCCCATCGCGGTTGCTGAGACTGGGGCCCAGGCAGAGAGGGGACGGCGTGGTACGGGTGTGAGCCTTCGGGGCAGGCTGCTCCACCGCGCAGCACAGACATGCTGCACGCCCACAGTGCAGACTGGGGCGTGGGCCCCAGCTGATGGGCGCATTCAGGCTGCAGGCACTGTTTCCTGTCCCCTATGTAGCCATTCGGTCTCCAGCAGGAACTACCAGTAAGTCGGAAGCTGTCCCCAAAGGCAAACTCCGTCTGCCAGAGAGAATGCCTGCGTAGTATCCCCTGGGAATTCCCTGTTGTGCTCGCTGAGCTGACTGGGTCTGAAGGCCCTGGGAAGCACAGAGGGCCTGACGCGGCCTGCTCTTGCTCTGGACCCCCTAAAGATGGCTCCCAGAGTCACCAGCTCCCTGAGTGAGTAGAGCACTTGCAGATGTGGACACGTGGCCTCCAGAAGCCCCACCCAGTGGCCCATGGTGACAGGTGCTGCCGGGGGCAAAGCCTCCTTGGGAATGTGCTGCTATTTGGTGACAGGGACAGCCCAGGGGCTTCTTGTTCAGCTCTTCCTCCCATTGCCCTACTCTGAGGGAGGTGCACGCCTGGACTCCCAGCAGTCTGGAAGGCTGGGGCAGGAGGCTTGCAGGTTCAGGCCCAGCCAAGAAAGTTGAGTGAGCCTCAAGAAAGTTGAGTGAGCCTCTTCTCTCAAAACGTAAAAATTAACAGAAAGGGCTATAGATCACTGGGTGGGCCTGGATTCAGTCTTGAGGGCCTACACCAAACAAGAGAAAGCAGAGCCCAGACTCCGTGGCTCAGAAGCCACGAGGTACGTAGCCACGGGCTGCAGACTGCTGTGCCGCTGCTCGGGCTGCGATGTCCTCTGTGGCCTGAGGACCACGAGCCCTGCTCTCACCCGCAGAGAGGTGGTGTTCTGGGTTCTGAGGATTGGTGGACATTCAGAACCACCACGGGCACCTCTGGAAACCCGAGCGTCCTGCTGCACATGCCCGAGCCTCACACCTGGGCTGACTTGGCTGGAAGCTGGTGAGAGCGAGCGCTGCAGTCAGGTCTGTGACCCTCCACTCAGAGGTCCTCTTGACTTATAGATGAAGTGACCCTTCAGAAGGCTCGGAGTCACTTTCATCCTTGGAGGACGTAACAATCAACCCCTGTGAGTCGGCCCATTCTAACCCCTGATAGTCCATGACAAGGTCCACAGTCCCCTGCCTGCCTTGTCACTGCCCCATGCTCCCAGAGAATATCCAGAGTCGGATGCTGATGCTGTCCTTGCTGTCTCCTGCTGTGCATGTGGCCAGCAGGCCCAGCAGCATGGAGAAGAGACTCCGCTCACGTGCAGTACCCGGGGGGCGGGGTGAGCATGCAGATGCGCAGCTGCACACAGTGAGCTGTTTCGCACCCTATCAGCCAGAGCCTGCAGCACCCTTCTTGATAGTACACGTGTCCCGGCATCCCCACCTGTTACACACAGGTTCAGCAGTGCCCTGGATCACAGGCAGTTGGCCCCGGAAATGGTTAACGCACCTTGCAGCTGTGACCCCTCCTCAGTAGGCGCGTGATCGCTTCTCAGTCCTCCCACAGTAAGAAATGCCGCTAAATCAGCATTGAATTTTTTCTGCTAGGAAGAACCCATCCCCAGATTCCTGGAGAAAAACTGAGCACATCACACAATGCTTTTTGTGCGTGACTGCCTGGAACTGTCCCAAGGACGCGCAGTGTGTGCTCAACTAGCACACTAGCAGCGTGTTGCGCCCAGGTCCCCAAGCAAAGGCCATCATCCTGGAGCCAGCCCTTCCACAGGCACAGGGGCTGGGCACCACCTCGGGATTTAGGAATCCCAGCTCGTCCCAGTCCACCCCTGTGTCCCTGTGCCTGGCACAACCATTCTACCCTCTGTATCAGGGCCAGT